CGGCTTGCAAGGGGCCATGTTCTCCCCTAGGCCGGGGCACGGCAGCCTCGTGGGGCCCTCGCCCTCTGGGCCTAAGATTTTGTGTTTCTGTCTCATTTCAGACTCGGGGCTTGGCTCCCCTGGAGACTCCAACGGCACCTGGCGCGAGCGGGCACCAACCGCAGCTGGAGGCGGGGGGCTCGTGGGGCCCTCGCCCTCTGGGCCTAAGATTTTGTGTTTCTGTCTCATTTCAGACTCGGGGCTTGGCTCCCCTGGAGACTCCAACGGCACCTGGCGCGAGCGGGCACCAACCGCAGCTGGAGGCGGAGGCGTTGATTGAAAGTCATTCTTATTGGGACTGTTTTAAACTGCTTTTGTTAACACCCATTCAACTTCTGCAACAAAGGGGACATCTGTTCGAGATTCAGCACTTCGCTCCACTGTGAAAAGGGAGGCCAGTTTAAAATCCACTCAGGCTTTCCCCCACCCGTTCCCTAACCAAGGCAGAGGAAACCAGACTTTTAAAACCTTATACTTCAAAGGTAAAAAAGTAAAAGCGCATGTAAAGTGTTTATTGGCACCTGGCAAAAGTGTGCAGCTAAGTTCAGCCATGTTCAGCACCTAATTGTGAAAGGGCACTCATTTTTAGTTCTAGATACTGTTCACACAAACCATACGGACAAGCTGTCATTCTATTTTTACTGTATTTCTATTGAAATGAGAAATGCAGAATTGTATGTTAAAGCAAATCCTTACATAATTTAAGATCTCTAATGGCTTGTCCACGTGGGAGACTTTTCTAGTTATACCAGCATAACTCACTCTGTGAAAAAGAATAATTAACTTTTTTTGGTTTAGTTTAAACATAAATAAAACTGGAAAAAGACACTTCATTCTAGAACAAAAATATAAAATGGGACAGCTGCACTGGATTGCTTGATGTTCCTTCCCTCTGGGTCCTTTGGTATTGGCTACTGTTGGAAGACCGGATACTGGGCTAGATAGACCATTGGTCTGACCTAGTATGACCATACTTATGTTCAGGGATTGACAATTACGGCAATCTTCTCACCTGTGGTGACTAGATTTTAGTATGGCAGTGCAGCGCAATCTGTGCATGCACAGCGTGCCAAACCACACGGCTGGTGAGCGGGGCTCGCCGCTGCTTGTCAAGCCCTGCTTATGTTCTTACATTATGCCTTTAAAATTTTTAAAAACAACAAATAGTCTAGTAGCACTTTAAAGGCTAACAAAACATGTAGATGGTATCATGGGCACAACCCACTTCTTCAGATGACAGGAATATTAGAAGTCCAGATCCAAGAATAAATAAGGGAAGGGGGACAGGGGAAGGATGAAAAAAGAGAGACAGTGAGTAGATGGTTCAAGTAGTTACAAGAGGCTGATAAGAACAAAAAGCTGGTTGGTTAAGTCATAGGATGTGGAAGGTAGTGTGCGGGCCAGCCAATGTCCCTGTTCATACCATTTGCATAAGAATTAAACTTGTGAATGAAGTTAAGTTCCAACCCTTCTCTGTGTATTTGGCTTGTGGAATTGGCCTGAAACAAAATGGTGACTTGCAGATCCATTAATGATTGTCCAGGCAGATTAAAGTGTTCTCCAACAGGTTTTTGTGTATTGCCTTTTTTGATATGATTTGTGTCCATTAATTCTTTTCCATAGAGACTGTCCAGTTCGGCCATTATACATTGCAGTGAGGCGTTGCTGGCATATAGTGGTTTAAATTCACACACTACCTCATATCTGCATAACTTTCCTAACTTTTTCCAGTAATGTTGCTCTTTTTCGATCTTTGAATATGCTAAGGTCCAAATAAGCAACAGATATGTTTGCCCAGTTTGTTGATTAAAAGGAATGATTCAATTTGAGTTGAACAAATTAGTGTCTAATAATTAGGTGATGTTAAGGATACAGGTGACATTCTGGTCAATATTCTAGCTTAACTAGAATTGTGTATTGGTTAGTTAATCCAGGCAAATTTGGATTTTCTCTAAAGGCTAAAGAAGCATTGATGCTCCAGCAATAAAGGATTGGGTGTTTCAGACAACTGGAAACAGGACTTGGAGCTTTCACTTCAACTGATAGCAAACATCTTTTGTTAGTTTGTGAGGGGAAGGTTGGCAGTCCGAGATTACTTCTGATGGGACAAATGTTCCTATTACAAGTCCATGACAACTGGCTTCTTTGTTAGCCGTCTTGGCAAAGGGGACTAGGAAAAAAGGGCATGGAAAGTGAATGCTACTCTCACCATAAAAATGTTCCTGCCAGGTGAGGAATTAGATATATCTTGCACTTCTGTAACTTCTGACTGCTTTTTGGTCTGACATCCCTGTATTCACTTTTTAAAGGTACCACTTCCTGCATTTGTAGATAAAAGTGTGGAGGTGGAACTGCACTCTTGGATTATTTAATAGCATGTAAAAAAGTCAGAACAGGGATGATGCAGAGTTTTAGAACTGAACATTTTGATAAATCACAACTGGGAGCAATAAGGGAAACAGCTATTCAAAACATAGCTTTTCCTCCTTTCTGAGTTGGAGGGCAGACTTCCCCTATTAAATCATGTGGCTTTAGAGGCCTGAAGTCAGTTTGAGTGTAGCTGCCGGTAATAACATATGGATTCTTTTTTTTCTCCTTTCAGGGGAGCAGTTGACCTACCATGTCTGGGATCAAGAGAGTGATTGAGGAGAAGGACCCGGACTATGAGGAGATTTCAGTCACACAACCAAATAAACGTCACAAAGCAGTTGAACAGTCAGGTAGGAACTGTCTGTCATGGAATCTTATGGAAGATAAAACTCTCTGTACATACTGTACCCTCTGGAAAACTGCAGGCATTGAACTCTATTATCTAAGCAGATGAACTAGTATTCCATTAGAATTACAGTGACTACAGATAAAGACTACAGGAAGCAAATAATGAATGCACAAAAAGTCTGAGGTGTAGCTGTGTTACTCTGAAACTTGAGGGTGCCCCAGTGCTACTCGTTTTGAAAGACTAACAAAAATATATAGTATCATGAGCTTCCATAGGTAAGACCCACTTATCAGATGAGTTGGAGTGGAAATAACAGAAATCAAAGATATATAACAGCAAAAGAAGTACCTGTCAATTGTAGGGCTCATGTTTAATTAAGCTAATTTAGTGGGCTGGATGTGCCCCATTCATTGCTTTTGATGTGAAAATGCAGATGTCAAAGGGAGGGGAAATTGGCTTTGTACTGTGATAATCAGTTAATGTCTTTATTCAAGCCCAGAGTAACAGTGTCAGATTTGTACATGAATTCCAGTTCTGCAGACTCTCTCTATAACTGGTGGTAAAATTTCTTTGTAGAAGAATGGCTGCTTTTAAATCCATGATTGAGTGACCAGGTTGGTTAAAATGGTCCTTTATAGCAGGGATCGGCAACATACGGCACACGTGCCATAAGCATGTAGTGGGGGGACTTATGCTGCTGTTCCAGCCTGGCGTTCACCGCGCAGCAGTGAGACGCAAAAACAAGCTCCGACTCCTGCGCACTGGGCCCTTTCAAATGTCCTGAGCAGTTGCACTCAGCTGAGGCACGGTGTCTGGCCAGTCACAGGAGCTGGAGGTACGGATGCTAAGAATGCTCAAGCTGCACTCCTCGTCCCTCGCCCCCGCTCCCCGTGAGAGTCAGTCATCTGTGCTTGTTTATGGCAGCTCTGTGCGTGACTTGCACGTGCTACAAGCTGCTCCTGATGTCCCTGCCCCTCACACCAGCGCTTGTGGCGCATGTGAGGGGAGGGAGAAGGTGTGGGGCAGCCTGCTCGGAACTTCAATGTGTTGAGGGAGAAGGAGGGTCTGCTGCCTTACCGGGTCTGCCTGGGTGGTGGGGCTGGGAACTACGCTCGTCCCAGGGCGCAGGGAGGGCCCTCCCCCGCACTGTCACTTGTTTGACTCCCCCTCCCTCAGCCCATGTGCAGGGATGGGTTGGGCGAGGGACACGGGCAGGAGCATCTGGCTCTGGGTGGTTCCTGTAACACGTGAGACGACAGCACCAGGCTTATGAAGAGGCAGAGCAAGCGGTTCCATTGGAGCCGCTTGCTCTGCCTCTCCACAAACCGGTCTGGCGCACAATCCCTTCTGCACAATCCCTTCCTCCCCATCCCCCTAGGGGAGTGGCAGCATAATGATGCACTGGTCGCAGGCTTTCCCTGCTGCTGCCCTTGGTCGGGCAGTGGCAGCAATGGGGGTGCAAAGCCAGGTAAGTGTCCCCTTGCATGCTCAGACCCTTACAATCCAGTCTCCCTCACCACCTCTCCCCGACTAGGACCTTCATGCCCCCAGCTTGCCCCTACACCCTCCCTTGTTCCTGTATTCCATCCCCCAGCCACCACCCTGCTCCTACTCCCACCTTGTTCCTGCATCCACCATTGTTCCTGAACCCACCCTCCTGGCCATACACACTGCACCCTCCCTTGCTCTTACTCCCTCCCCCTGGCCATACACCCTACTCCCAGCCTGCTTCTTCATCCCATCTTCCGCTCAGATCCTGCACCCACAACCATATCCCACTCACTGGCAGCCCTGTCCTGCACACTGAAGCCCTCATTTTTGTCTCCACCCCAGAGCCTCAGGGGGTCCACAAAAATCCACTAACTCTGAAATCCCAGAAAAGTAAATCTGACCTATGGGAAGCCTCAGTCCTCTCTGTCCCTTCCTTTGCTCTGTGGGGCTGGAATGCCAGAGGAGTGAGATGTCTCAGTTGGGGGGCACATGAGTGAGGGTTTGGGCTTTTTGGAGGACTTTTTTTTTTACTTCTCACGTGTGTGGACCCCAACTGATTTTTTTTCCTGTTGGCCAGTGGCCCCTGATCCCAAAAAGGTTCCCCACCCCTGCCATAAATAAGGAAAACATGGGGAACTTTTGCATTGGACATAAATTAATATTTTACTTTATCTAAAATGAAGTTTGATAAACTAACATGAGAAAGTTAAAACACTTAAATTAAACCATTCTCCCTAGCCGCAGCACTAGCAAAATGTCTCAGGTGTAATTATGTAATTAACAGTGAGTTTCCATTGGCAAGTGGTGGTCTGCAGAAAGGTTTGCATTGAGCCAGGTGGTCCATGGGCCAAAAAGTTTGAGAACCACTGGGCTAGAAGGTGAATGCTGCCCAGGCTGCAGCTCTGGGGATGGATGGCGGCGGGGGGGCTGAGGGGAGAGGAAAACACGTGGGCGGATGCCCCTACTCCAAAGCCATTTTGGCCCTTGGGTGCCTGGATTCCTGGCAGGAAGGCCAGGGTGCCATGGACCAGAACCCTGCCCCTCCCCCAGACTCCACCCCTGGCAGGGCTGGACACCCCAGGTTTACCCACCCACTCCTGCTTCGCCGTTGGCGATCCAGCATGCCCCACCCCCCTGCAAGATTGGAGCTGGCTTCCTGTGGGAAGAGGGGAGCCCAGAGGCTCCGTGCTGCATCCGGCTTCTGGGGAAGTGCATAATCATTGCTGCTCCCCATAGGAAAAGCGGGAGCAGAGCCCAAGGCAGGAGACCAAGGAGAGTGCATAGTGGAGAGAGCCCCTCCTACTCCCCAGGAGAATGGCACAGCCCAGGGAAGGAAGGTTAAATCTTGGCACGCCACTTTAGAAAGGTTGCCGATGCCTGTTCTGTAGGTTTACATGTGTTACCATTCCTGATGTCTGATTTGTGTCCATTTATCCTTTGTCACAGATACTGTCCTCTATAGCCAGTATATATGGCAAAGGGGCAGTGCTAGCACTTGATGGCATATATTACATTAGAGCAGTGGTCCCCAACACGGTGACCGCGGGTGCCATGGCGTCCGCTGGGCCATTTGTGTGCCTGCCGAACAATCTGGGCCGGCCCCGCTCCTGGGCGCATGGCACATGGGCGGTGCTGGCCCCGGGCACATGGCGCATGGGCGGTCCCTACCCCAGGGTCGCTGCACATGGACAGTCCCGGCCCCAGGAACATGGGCAGCCCCTGCCTTGGGGTCGCGACACATGCCAGTGCCGGCCCCGAGCGCATGGGCAGCCCCGCCCCCGGGGTTGCGGCAGCCCCAAAAGTTTGGGGACCACTTTATTATAGAGGATGTGCAGTTGTATAAGCCCCTGATGTGTCTTGGCTTATGTGGTTAGTTCCTGTGATGGTGTTGCTTGTATAGCTATGTTGACAGAGTTGGCAACAGGGTTTGTTGCAGGGGTAGGTTCCTGCATGAATGTATTTGAGGTGTGATGTGTGGCCGCTGGTATTTGCTTCAGTTTGGGAGGTTGTATGTAGGCGAGGATTAGCTTGTCTCCCAAGGCCTGTGAGAGCGAGGTATCGTTTTCCAGGATAGGTTGTAGATTGTCAATGATGCACTGGAGAGGTTTAAACTTGGGGCTGTAGGTGTTCTGTTGTTTTCCTTGTTGGGCGTGTCTTGAAATAGTGGACTTCTGGGTACTTGTCTGGCTTTGTCAGTCTGTTTCCTCACTTCCCAAGGTGGGTATTTAACTTTTAAGAATGCCTGATAAAGATCCTGCAGTGTTTGTCTCCGGTTGTGGGATTGGAACAAATCCGGTTGTATCTTGGCTGTAGACAATCGATCATGTGATGTGTCCTGGATGGAAGGTAGAGGCGTGTAGGTAAGAATACCCATCAGTAGATTTCCAGTAAGGGGGGGTGTTTATGTGACCATCTTTTATTTGTACTGTTGTGTCAAGGAAGTTTCTTTTGTGTGGACTGGTCCAAGGTGAGGCTGATAGTGGAGTGGAAATTGTTGAAATGCCTGTAGAATTCTTCAAGGGTCTCCTTTCCACAAGTCCATATGATGATGTCATCAACGTAGCTCAAGAAGAGAAAGGATACTAGGGTTACATCTAAACTACACCCCTCTGTCGGCAGAGGAATGTAAATTAGACGTATCGCAAGTGCTAATGAAGTGGGAATTTAAATATCCTGCACTTCATTTGTATAATGGCAGCTGCCGCTTTTTTCGAAACGGAGCTTTTCGGAAAAAAACCAGCAGTTTAGACAGGGAGTTTTCCACAGGATCTTTCGAAACAGGGCATTTCTGTCGAAAATGCCCCGTCTAAATTGACGCTTCATTTGCTCTTTTGATACATCTAATCTACACCCCTCTGTCAGCAGAGGGATGTAATTTAGATGTAGGGACGAGAGCTGAGGAAATGTTCGAGGTCAGCCATAAAAATTTTGGCATAATGTGAGGCCATTAGGGATGTTAACAAACACTTACTTTTGCAAATGTGTAACCGCTGAATTTTTTTTACATGCAGTTCCCATCTCCTTCTCCATCCAGAACTACTCCCATCCTGCTGCCTCTGATACTGTTTTTCCTTGATGGACCCAATCGCTATTATGGCTGAAGGTTCTAACTTTCAGTTTCCAGGAGAATAACTCTTACTATATGAGATTTTGCAAAAACTAGATGAGCTATATTTGGATTTGCATTAGTGAAAGGTCACCCTGACCTTTATATCCAATGTTTAATTACCTGGATATCTCATTCTGATACCCAGTGTCTGATACCATGCTAGAGATTAAGGTGTCTGAGTGAGTCTCTGGCTTTACAATGCACTATTGTTCTAACTAATTACTGAGCAGTGCCTAAAACTCCCCCAATTTCTTTTTGTGAAACATGTCCTTTGAATCTGAGTTAAATTACAGTTCAGTCAGTTCCATTTGCAGACTGGAAGGGACATGATCCACATTAGCAACAAAATGGTTTTTGGGAGGATGTTAATTGTGTGTAACTTGAAGTTGAAAAAATTTGTCCTCAGAATTTTGGAGGTCCAGTAATTTTATAATTTAGGCACATAGGAGTTGAGCATTGAGATTTTCTTCCCGAGTCCTTCAGAAGTGAATTAGTGTTCTCTTCTCTGGGTATGTCTACACTTGTACCCTCTTTCGAGAGAGGGATGCAAATGAAGACATTTGAAATTGTAAATGAAGCTGGGATTAAAATATCCCATGCTTCTTTTGCATATTCGCGTAATGGTGCTATTTTGAAATAACCGCGTCTTAACAGCGTCTGTTATTTCGAGAGAAAACCCATTCTCAAAATAACCCTTATTCCTCATGCAATGAGGTTTACCAGTTATTTCAAGAGAAGGGTTTTCTCTTGAAATAACCGTGTCTTAACAGCGTCTGTTATTTCAAAACAGCGCTGTTTTGAAATAGTGCCATAATGGGAATATGCAAATGGAGCGCGGGATATTTAAATCCCGGCTTCATTTGCAGTTTTGAATGTCTTCATTTGCAGGGCTCAACAAATAAAACAATCTAGTCGCCCATGGTGAGTAGATTGCAACCTGGAAGAGCTGGGTTGGGCGATCTGGACAACGCGGCTGGCAAGTGGGACTCGCTGTGGTTCGGCGAGCCCTGTTCTTTTGCATCCCTTTTTCAACAGATGTTGCAAGTGTAGACATGTACCCTCTGAGCGGTGTCACAAGTGTTTTGATTTATTTGAAAGACTTTCAGATCTGTTTAAAAGTGGGAAACCAGCTTCTCTTTATCTTGCAACTTCAAACTGAGATAAATTTTAAATGTTAGAATTGCAAAATTCCACAACTACACTGGATTTTTTGTTCATGAAAATACTGATTTCATTCCACAAGACGAAGAAATGTTTCAGTGAATTTCCACAAGTAAGGCCAACATACTTTGCATCCTGATATTCTGCATCAGTTTTCTTCAGAAATGCTTGCAATGAACAGTGATTCATTCCAGGTACTCTGAGTTTACAGTGACTCCTATGGCTTTCATTACATTTTGCCAAGTTTAGACCTTTGCCACACAATGTTGGTTAATAATACAATGCAGTGCTATTGGCCTTTCAGTGATACAAGATTTGCCAGCCTTATTCACCAGCCAGTCAATCCAGTCTTGTGGTATGCCATGTTCTTAGTGTCTGTCCATTGTCACTGTGTCGAGTTGATTCCAAAACAGACCAACTTCCTTAATAATGTCAGCAAATCTGCAAAACCAGTCTTTCACCTATAGTTTTCCCAGGAATTATCTGTAGTACTGCAAGCTCGTCAGTGGCTTGAAATGCCTAGTCTATTCCACAAATGAAATTAGCAGTTGAGCACTGTCAGTAATGTTGCTTTCATCCAAAGCCACTGAACAAACCTCAACATCTTGGATTTTTTCCCAGGGCCATTCTTTTAAATATGCAGCGATTGCTTCTATTCTACGATGAATAGTCTGGCGAATTGCAGCTTCAGTAAGGTTCCTTTAATCGGAACATGTTTCCTCCATAACCACTTCTTTATGAATTCCCTGCCAGAACAAGATTTAGAATTAGTACCCAGTAAATACACAACACAGTAGCTTGCCTTCACTGCTACTGCATTTTCTTCTTGTCGTATTCCGAGCATTTGCTGTCATTGTCCGATCTCTTTGCAGTTCATTGTGTATCATACTTTCCCCTAGGCTTTGTGCAAGAGTGTCTTTTCATGTTATGTTTCTTCCACGCTGCAACTGTTTTACAAATGAGACATAGTGATTTGCCTTGATGGGTACAAATTGATCAGTCCACCTGCCCTGAAAAACACATTTAATGGACATTTTCTGTTTTGTTGGTTGGTGTTTGTTTTTTTTGGTGCAGCGTCTGCCTTTACCTCCCAGTCAAAAGCATTGCATCTGGGACAGACTACTGCTAATCTGCACATGTCTGAAGGTGTCTGCCTAAATTTTTATACCAAAAATCACTAAAGAAATATGTGTTTTTAATTTGTCTGGTTAGCCTACAGCTGAGCTGCAAATGCAGTGTTATTATTTACAGGCTTGCACTTATATGAAACATGACTTTTTTATTAAATCCATTCTTTATCACATTTTTTAGTATTTCTTTGTGCAAACTAAAGTGATGTAAACATAAGAAATGCTAATGAATCAGCCATTAGCATCTTATATTGAAGCAGGCCACAGGCTTTATGAAGTGCTGTGGTAGGTCTGTTCTATATCAAACGGAGTATTGGCTTCTCTTTCCCATCTATAAACTTCCCTTTTTTGGGGGGGGGGGAGGTCTGCCCCCTCATCCTCTTTGTATTTTGCTTGTATATTTGTCCGTGCATGTTGTCTTCTAATGACTGTTTGTGTTGCATTTTTTCTCAGTGTTGTATTAATTTTCAGATGATATAGTAAACAGTCTTGTTACAGGACTCCCATCTCAGTGCTTATAAGAGAAAAATCCTTGTGGAAAACAACTTGTATACATATTTAAGTAGGGATATAAAATCCCATTTACTCAGTTAACTAATTAAACGTTATGTTTAACCACTAAACTGAGATCCCAAGTTGATATCACCAGGTGCTTCGACCCGGCTGAAGGAACCTCCTGCCCGTGGTATGGCACAGTGGGCCCAGCTGCGCTGGAGCAGCTCCCTGCCAGTGGCACAGTGGGCCCATATGGCCTGGAGAGTCGTCCTCCACCCCCTAATGGCTGGTAGCACAGCAAGCCCCATTTGGGCTCGAGTGCCCCTAGCCCAAAGTGTGGTGGGCCCAGCCAGGCTGGAGCAGGCTGCCGATTACATTAACATATTTAAGGTAAATTATGTTCTGGGGCAGAGCAGAAGTAATAACCAGTTGGCACGAAGTACTAGAGATCCCTTTTGCTGTGTTGTGCTCAGTCAGTTACTATAATCTTTATTTTTCCTTTAACTTTTTTTTATGTAGAACCTTTGGGATTGAACTATAACTCCTTGCCTCTGAAAACTTCCTTTGTATTTAAATGTGATTTTTTTTTCAACAGCTCGAGATGCTGCTGTACAGAAGATTGAGACAATTATTAAAGAGCAGTTTGCTGTTGAAATGAAGAATAAGGAACATGAGATTGAAGTCATAGATCAGGTATAAAAGTCTCTCTTAAAAGGAAATAAGTTAGAGGATCAGGAAGTATTGAAAAGTGCTGCAATTGCTGTACTTTGTAATACAATTTCTCTTCTTTTTATAGCGCCTGATTGAGGCAAGGAGGATGATGGATAAGCTTCGTGCTTGCATTGTGGCTAATTATTATGCTTCTGCTGGTCTCCTTAAAGTTGGAGAGGTAAAAATTTATTTTTGGAACAATAAGACTGGAAAATATTGGTAAAGTTAGACTGCATAGTTCATCTTCTGTGTAGCTTTCCTGGTTGGCTTTTGCGGTACAGTCATAAATGCTTGAAAAATGAACTGCAAAACCAAAGTGGAACTGAGTTGCATGCAGCTTGTGGTGCCACTTAACAGGTTGCAGGGGCATTCAGCACAGACAGATTTTATCTACTCTGTTAAATTCTTTTATCTGAGAAATGTATTGCATCCCCTACCTGAAACCCTATCAACACCCATGTTTTATTTTCTGAAACTGTTTCTTTTCTACAGTGCTGGTCACCATTGTATCAGTACACAGGACTCCAAGTTGGGCAGTATTCTCCCATTTTACAGATAAGGATCTGAGGCAGCAGAGGGATTAATGATTTATCCAAGATTAGAGGGAGGGAGTCTAGTAGACTTGGGAACAGAAACCTCAATCTCCTGAAACCTCATCAGTGCTTTAGCCTCAAAACCATCCTTCCTTTCATGCAGCCAGCTATAGTTATGACTTCACAGAATGAACCAAGATGTCACAGGTGGGAGAAAATGAATTTAGACACAGCCAGTTAAAACTTATTTCTATGCTATGTGCTCCTATATTTTAGCAAGTGGGAGTGTCAGGACATGTGCCTGAGTTTAACTCAAGTTTTATTTTTGACTTGCAGTTCCCCTTTAAATTGCTAGTGTTTGGATTGAGAGTAATGTTTTATCTGAGTTCTAATAAAGGATGATGGAACTGCTGCATCAGACTTCAGGCATGTGGATAGAAACCATGGATTTGCCTTACCTGCCTAG